GTATCGGTGATAACTCGATTAACGATCGTCTCGAGGAGAAAAATCGCGAGTCACGAGAAAAGGGGAATCCCTGGACCAAGGAGGGACAGGAAGAAGGGCCACGCGAGATTACACGGCACAATCCGCAAACGAGCGAACTTAGGCCTCGTTCTAATTGCGAATATGACTCTGCTTAATTTCCCCCTCGGTCGTTGCACATGGAATTAACGTCACCCGATAGAATGATCGTTCTTTCCTCTATTCAATGAAAACCTTCTCCAGGAACAGTGATACTTCCTGATCACCCCTTTGGAGACTCTTTTAATTCTTCCTTGAAACTACAGATCCTCCTGTTGTATGACAAATAATCATTTTTATATAAAAGGAACAAATTAAAAATGGGCTGTTCAATGATTTCTATTGATATCACAGAACGATAGCATGAAAATTCAATTCCTGACATTGGATTTTCAGGACAAAAAACGAAGAAAAGATAGGAACTGAGAGATGCCTCCTACGCTTCGAGAAGAGGAGCTGAAAGGAAAAAAAGGCAATGGCCAACTTTAAATCTGCGGCTCGTGCGTTGACCGCTACCGTTACGTGTTACTGACACCTTTCTATTGAAACACCTTTCAGATTCACTCGTAAACGTCAGTTCACCGGGGGAAAACTATAAAACAGGTATGAAATTTCAACGCTACTCTGAGGTCGTTTCTTCTGCCCATATAAATGCAAGATTTGAACCAATAGTTTCTATTTTTAACATGTTTTCTTCGGGTACAGAGTGTTTCAAAAAGAATTTCCGATTTCGTACTTGGAATACCGATGAAATTTTATTTTATATAAATAAAAAATTATTTTATTGTCGTAATAATGACCGAGAACTGAACGATCCAAAAATATTATACCTTTCTTCGAGAGAATCTAATTACCCGTAATGTAAAACACACCCCTAACGCACACAACCCTTCTACAATCTCGTGTACACAAACATGGATAAATATCTATGCGAGACATAATATGCCGGACGGCGAAACTCCCTTGGACGCAATTATCCCATTTAAATTAAGCCGCATAATTGGACGACCGTCTATTCACACTCGTAAAGCAACCGTGCGAGAGCTTTTACAGCTGTGGATGAATTTAAGAAGAGGCTCGAAAAGAGGGGAAAAGAGGGTTGCGAACGGTGGAGGGAGAGTTTGTGGTTGATTCCCTCGGGTTGAAAGGATACTGCTACTGTTCGCCTTGCTACCGAAACGATCTCTTTTCTCTCTTCTCTTCTTTCACAGGCTACACTTTTTTTTCACCTTCCCTTGATGTCTCTGTCTTTTGTTTTGTCCAGGCCTCCGCGCCAGTAGACAGCTTCTGGGTTACGTAGAACGGTTTACGATCGTTCAGGTATTTGCTCGTTGGATTCTTCGGTTGTTTATTTTATTTTCTTCCGAATGATGTAGAGATTTTGATTGAGAAAAGCAAGGAAAATTTGGTAGCCGGAGTCGTCAAGTTTCTCTTACTATTCTTGTTATAATCCTGGGATTCTCACGGAGACTCTCTTCCTGGTCCGCGCAAAAGTAATCTTCTATCGAGCGAATTAAGCATCGACTTACCCGAGGGATCAGAGAACAGGATAATTTCCTTGTTTCTCCGACCTGCCAGCTGATTTTCCATTCTCTTTTTAAAAGGTTCCATTAATCCCTGAATGGCGAACGAGCCACCGTCTCATTAATATCGTCTTCCTAACGACTAATTACTTTTCCTCGCGAAGCAATTACGATACAACGACTAATTGGACTCGCTGACAAGAGAATTCTAAAACTGCTTTTTCATAAATAATTAAATCGCGTATTTTGTGAAAGAAGTTAAAGTAATCGAGATAATAGATTTGAAAAGAATTGCACTCTATGGAGCATTCTCAATTTTCGTTGGACAGGCTCGATGGAATTTAAGGATCATCAAAATCAACGAAGGTATGCATAGATCAGTTGGTCGTCCCGAGGATCTTTAAAGATCCACGGCATTTAGGGGAGAAACGTTTCGGCGATAGCAAAAGGGTTCCTGGAAAGTCCTGAAAAAGGATTCGCGTTCCAACGAACGGTGGTCCTCGACAACTTGTACCGAAACCCTCAACTATCGTCTGTCCTTTATTATAAATAAAAATTAAGAAATTTGTAAACTTCAATTACTAATGGCGCCATCCTAATTATTTATTAATGAATATATAAAAAATAATAATTAAGTTGTTAGATCGATTAGTTGATTCGGATCGTGAAGCAATGATCATCCAGGCAGCACCAATTAGCCTGTTAATGCAATCAGTAAATTGGCGCCAATGTCGCGGTCGACTGCTTTCCCACAAAGTCCCAAGCAGAAGATCGGCCCAATTACGCGTTAGAGTGATAATTGGTGAATTTATAGTCGGCTCTGTCTCGGTCGTCGGTCGACGACGATCTCCTCCATTGGCCCGGGGACAAGGAATTAATTGTCTAATTATCGTTAATACTGGCCCTCTTCGCGAGCCTCCTTCTCCCTCACCTTCCAGCTCGGTTTCTCTATCGAACACCGTTTTACAAGCCATCCGTCACCGTCTGACGACACTCGTATTTATTCGTTCAAACGATGCATAATGGCGTGGACATCAATTAATTGAACTAGAAGACAATTTATAAAAGGGTGGCTAGCTTTGTTTAGTCTGATTAGAAAATTGCCGGCAATTTCATCCGGGTAGACGTACCCTCTAAAATATTATGCACGCTTCTAAGTCTGATGATTAAACTCTACGAGAAGTATGAGAAAAAACAGAACGGGTCTTGCGGAAAAAAGAAGAATAAAAAGAAGAGAGTGGATAGACGCGACAGAAAGACGGTCCAAAGAGGATGAGAGTTTTTCGTCGCGTGCCACTCGATCCAACGACAGGACGACTGTCGATCAACGATATATATTAAAAAAGCAACGAGCAAAAGGTCCTAGGATCGTCTTACATATTGATAGCGAGGTCTCCTTCGTGAAATCAGGAATCACAAAAGGAACCGGACCAGGGCTGGCTACCTTTCGCTCTCTCGCTGTTCGGAATCGACTATTAATTCACGATAGGTGAAATTAGAAATGGTAATTGACGTTAAAGAGGAGGAACGAGCACGAGGGTGATTAGTTTTTGTCCGTCAGAGTCGACTCTGCTAGCACTCGACTCGAATTAGTTCCTCGCTGCATGAACGCCCCTGGAAAGGTGGACCCGCAAACGGTGGTTGAAGGAAGAGAGAAAAGAAATGAGAGAGTGAGAAGTGACGAGGAGAAGGGTGAAACAAGTGGGAGGGAGCGGTCTCTGGGAACATCACAAAGCACCCGGGCAAACCACGTCTCCTGCTTCTCCTCTCCCTTTTGCTTTATTTCACTTCGTTTTTAATTCCTCCCAATTCCACTGTCAAGAAGCCAGCCGCCGACACGAAAAACTAACGGAGATACTACTCTTTCTATCCTCTACCCGTTCGCTACCCTCGATTCTTCCTCGATCGTTCGATTACGAAACTTATCGTGATAAACTCGATGTTTCTACTTTTACCCAGAGGATCGTTCGCCTTTTCTTTCATATTTCGATGCTCCTTCATAATATGGGACATTCTGTGAGTCAAAGCAAAAATGAATGAAGTTCGACCGAGACCGAGACGTTGCCCGAGCTCTTGTCCAGGCCAGCCATGTAGAAGCTTTGCTAATGTCATTATAATGGCCCGTCAAGACATCCGACCATTTGTCTCGAAATTGCCGAAAAATAAAGGATCCTAAAGTATCTCGAGTTTCGTGCCCTCCTGCGGGAAACAGGATTCACGACTTTCTGGCGAACAATCTTTCACGGTCTCGGATGAACTTATGTGAACTGAATTTCGTGGCAGCGTTCGTTGTCGAAGCACCTTGTCATCCCTTAAAATCGATATCGGTATAAATCTTAATTTTAAATTAGTTTATTTTCTATCGCTCTGAATTTTTTTTTTACGAACATCCTTTATGGATGCGATCGGTCAAAATTCCCTAGATTTCAATTCGAACGATAAGAATCCCGAGGGAAAGGTAGGAATGAACAGCTGTCGTCAACCCCAGCTGTCCCCTTCGATCGTTTATTGGGCCATCTCTTGACGGGGTGGCGAAAAAGTTCTGCGGGCCCTTCGAGTCCGATATCGTTTGCTCCCTCGTCTCCTCTCTTTCCGGCCGCGTACCTTCGTGGAACGACGTTTCCGATTCGCGTCGGGGCGGATTTTTTGTAATTAATCCCCGGCGCGTCGCGACGGCAACACGAGGTACCGGAGGGTGGTGAATAAGAGTGAAAGAAGAGCACGGCCGAAAGATGGAGAAAAATGAAAAACAGATAGAGGGATAGAGAGAGAGAGACGAGGTGAAGAAGAAGAAGAAGAAGATGAAGAAGAAGAAGAAAGCGTAGAAGGTAGCTGGGATAGAACGGACACGACGTACACACGAAACGAAAGGGAATAAAGGTAAGGTGAAGAGATGGCGAGAGAGCGAGATAAAGAAGAAAATAAGGAAGAAGAAAAGAGGAAGAACGGAGAGACCAGTCTGCCGCGGTGTATCCGGTTTTTGCTGGCGTCAGATGACAGTCGCTTATTTACCGGGGCCCGCGGCCATCTTGCTGCGATCTGACTTAAGGAGGAGGCCCCGAACACGCAGCAGATCGAAATAAAAAGAAAGTAAAAAGAAGATGAAGAAGGGTAAAAGGAAGAAACGATCGAGAATCGAGGCGACGGACCTGGTCTCAGCTCGAATTAATCGATCGGTTATCAACGTCCACGGGATTCGTGGAATGGAAGAAATATGGCAGCCGTTCTGGGCCCGCAAAAGAGACAGACGGCTATGTATGATTTTCTTATTGTTCGATGCTGGAATTGTGTTACCTTTCCTCCGCGGTTAACGACGGTGTCTCGTTTTATAAGTTTAACCAGCTCGTCGTTTTTCTTCTTTATTTTAATACACGTCGCCGATGCGCCAACTGTCCTCTCCTTTTCTTTTTTCCATTCATCTTTATGAGATCTGCTCGGATTTTTAAGAGGATCGTGTTCGTGATCGATCGTACGGCATCGAAGGAATTTGATTGGATAATTAGCTATTTCCTCGTTAATTATAAGAATCCAAGAAGCAGAGAAATTAATTATGCCTTCGCCTGATACCGGTACGTGTCCACGAAGGAAAGGGGATTCCAGGTAACGTGGTAAGCCACGTCGTACGAGCAAATGCAAAAGTTACCGATCCACGCTGGATAATGGACCGAGGCACGCTTTAATTACCGCTAATTAACATGTTCCCGGCTGATCGGAGTCGGTACCGTTTACCAGTAACCATCTCGACGATCGAGACCTTAGGAAATTCTACCACAAGCGTCTTTAGACTTTTTATTCAAAAATCTTTTAAAAATGATATCTTTTTCAAAAAGAAATAAATTTATCCCGTACAATCACTCGAATCGTGCGCAATGTTCGAAGACACACGCCAAGGGAATCCTTCTAATAGATAAGAGGGTGAGTAACAGAGACACCGGCGAGAGGAACGAAGAGATTCGCGATACGTTCCTGCTACAAATGAAACACTTTCATCCCTCCACCCACGCCACCAAACATCTCCTTCCTTTCATTTGTCATCTCAGCTTTGCGTTTGACTCGCCCCGTTGTCTACCACGCCGCGATAGTTTTGTCCCTGGCCTAAATCATATCGCGAGATCGTCGAACAATGTCTCGAGATCCTCGTAGAAATTCTTCGTATATCCTGAATCTTCCTTCCAGCTTCTTGCTAATGGTTGACAACGAGTGACCTTGGCTTTAGAGATCAGGAAGGGTTTCATCGAAGTCTAAGAAACGGTCAACACTTGTCTGGCAAACACCCCTTTCGCTGCTCTCTTTCCCCACCCTTCTCTTGCATGTCTTCTTTCAACTTGAAAAGAAAACTTTTTCTTCGATCTTGTTCAACTGAACTCTGTTTTTCTTCGTATCAGAATCGATGTTAGATTTAGAATTCATCAACGAATGATGGTTGTCTTTCAAAAGAGTTAAGGTTCATCTGAATTCGAAAGGGTTAGAAATATTTGAACTTTTTTCATATAAAATTGGATCGAAATTATGGGATCGTATTTTGATGGTTGTACGTTAATTAGTTGCCGAGAAGTTTTCAGGCAAGGCTGGAAGAGTTCGCCTGGTTTCTAGGTGGTCCCAAATTCTCGAGTCATCATTGGCTCATTTACTTTTGTAAAACAATCTTGCCGGCAGTTCAATGGGTCTAACTACATTAAACTTGCCACTGGATAATTAAACTTCCTTATAAATCGTTGCCGTGCCGTATAGATTTAATTAATTAACATCAACCCTTGTTTTGGTATCCAAATTCTGTCCCCCGGTATGACTCTTTTATAACGCTAATTTAATATTCATGATTATTATAATTTTGCTGAAATATAAAAAAGAATGTTCTAAATTTAAAAAAAAGGCAGAGGGAAACCGGAGATTCAGAGATGTCGCGACGGATTATTAGGGTGCGCCAGATTTCCTGCGCTAAGTCCCTTCCTTTTTTTACTTATTTTCTTTCTAATCCTTACAAATGCCACGGTAATCAAGCTTTTTCCCTAATTCGTATTACGAAGGACCCGCATGCGAGTTCTAATCTTGACGGAACGCGCCACCTTCCTTTCCAGCTATTTGTTAAAACACCTGTGCTTTATAAACAATCCCGAGGGTCCTTGCAAATCCTCGCTCTCCTTCCGTTCTGAAAAATCCTACACCCTTTTTCCTCGTAAATGAAAAAAGAAAATTCATAGTGAATATTGGGAATAAGAAGAACAATTATTATGCACGACCAGCACTACCGTGCCCTTTTTATTTTCTTACCTTCTACGACGAACAGTAAATTATTCCTATATCATTCCTAAATCGTTCGAACACACCTAATAACCATTGTCTACGCAACGACAGCGACACGCAGTTGCAGTTAATTATGTCCGGAAATTAAGAGGAGAAAAAAACATTAGCTGGAGGCGGTAATTAAAGTACGCGAAAGCACCTTTTTTTTCTCTGTCAGTGTAATAACTGGCGTTCAAATACAGCGTACGTATTAACACCATCGAATAGTTGAGCCGGGTCAATCGTGACCCAAATCTGTAAAATCCATTATATAATACAACGGTGCTGTTTGATCGTGGGCCACTGAAATTTTGAAACGACAGTAGTATAAAATTCAGAAAATAAAATGACACACTGGGTGAAATAAAAACCCGGCTCCTCCGATCGAAATGAATCCCCAACTCGAGTAAAATCTTTCTAAAAATTGTTTTACAATAGCTAATATCAGCACCTAATCAGAACGAAATGATTTTAAAAAAAAACAACAACACGGGTATATCACTCATGTTGCTATTAGAAACTTAAAAAACTGAGAATGGTTCGTGGAAATGATCCAAGTTCTATATTTTCTTTTTACAATGTACATCTTAATTATTTGCAATCTAAGCACGTTTCATAAATTCTTTAAAAAATTGTACCAGTGCCAGCTGTTTAGGAAGGGTTAACAAAAAGTGCCGAGATCTTTGTCGAACTTCAAAATCGCGAGTATTTTTTTTACAAATCAAATTACAACATCTCTTTGTTATCCTTTTATAAGGTATAAAGAGAAGGACTTCGAGTAATTACAGTTATCATTAATACCAAAGGTGCGACTCGTCGTTTAATTACTACTGCGATAAGGCATCTTTTGATTTTTGATTTCCAAAAGTTTCCCTAAGACTCACGAGTAGAAAGATTTACGTTTCTAACGAATCTATCGACGACACACAACTCTATCGCTCTAAATGAGAAATCAAAAGATCACATTCCTCGATCATTTTCGCAACCATCTCATCAATCACTTTCACCGTTACATTATTATTTGTTTCTCATTGGAGAAGAGAATACGGAACACTAATCGATCGATCGATAATTGCAAAATGCGATATCGAATCGTCTTTGGATTTATTTGTCCGCTGCTTTCACGTTCGCAGCTACATTTTTATTTTTTCCTTTTGTTCTTCTCTTTTACTCTAATCTGTGCGTAAAATATTAATAATAGTAGTACTTAATATTAATAATAATAACAATACGAAAACAATGATTTCTCGATATTTTCTCCCGAATCTTTCACCCCGGTGACGATTAGCATTCCGTTAATTGTATATCTGTATACATTATCGTACAGGCTATATCTATATGTATATCATATAATATATGATAACTCGTGTACAAAAATATTTTATGTTAAATCGACTATTGTTATTAAACGTCTCGCCATAATGCAATTTATCTATCCCCTGATCGTTGCCGAGACAGATCAGCTTGGCACCAATTCCGTTCCTGGAACAATTAAAAATATTGTTAATTGATGACGACGAGCAGCGAAGAGCAGGAAGCTAGGAAAGGAGATTTGTTCTGGCACGGAGATTCTGCGGTTAGCTGGAAATATTATAGTGAACTCTCGTCATATTGCTGCAGATGACAGTGTAGAATTGAATAATTTTTCAAATTTTCAATTGGAAAATAAAATAAAATTAAAATTGTATCATTTCGCTCATGTGGCAATATAACGAGAGTCTACGGTAATGACAAAGCTTAGGAAGTGATTAAAACAGGAAACAGGCAATAGAGAAGTCGGGTCTTCTAAAACAAATTAAATAAAAAATTAATGAATTTTCCAACATTGCACATTCCTAGAAGAAAATTTTTGCCAATTTTTAGTAAGAGGTAGACTATTTTGAAAATTATATTAATAAATAAAAATAGATGATAATCGTCTGGAATAGAAAAATAAATAAAAAATTTTCTGAAATTAGATAACAATAGTTTCATTAACGTAACTTTTTTCTCCCCCAAGAAAAGACTTTTCTTCGACAAAGAAACTAACTTTCAAAATATTTCTCTATGTGTACGTGAACGTGTTTTTATTCTATAGAACACAAGGATCAAAGTTGTGGTAACCATGGAATCGAATGAAACGCGATTCGCGGTTCACTGACTTTTCCGAAATGTTTTTCCGGCCGAGAAACAGGAAATGACCAGGACTCCATTCTTTCGTCGGACTGTTCTTTTGTTCCTCGACCGCGAAATCCTTTCTCGCGATACTCGCCGAGTGTCGAGGGGGAAAAAAGCTCGATCAGGGACTATTTTGTCCGCTAGATCGGAAAGCCTTGCAAAACAATTCAGTCTATTTTTAATAGAAAAAAAAAGTTCCTTTATTTAACATTATCCTGGAATTTGATTAAAATTCTGTGAGAAAGATCTAATATTAGAGGCTGGAAAAGTTGGAAAAATTAGAGCAAATTCAGAGCTGAAAATAGAAATTAAAAAACAATAAATTCAGATAAAAAGAATGTAATAGAAAATTAATATGAAGAAATGCTGGTATAATTGAAACATTTATCGAGCTGAGGGGTATCATGCAGAATGAAGGAGGAAGTTTGAGGGGTACACACGTAAAAGTTCCTTCTATTTCCTCTCTCCCTAGTTTTTTGCTATTAGCTAAGTATACCGCCTCTGGCTTATGTTAAGCTTCGGCAATTATTTGTCATAGTCAGCTAAGACGAGAGCGGAGACAAAAGCGCGAAGGGAAAATGGGGGGTGAGAGCCCTCAAGATAAGACGTTCCCATCAATTTCACTAGGATCGTTTCCCGTTTCCACATTTCTGACCTTCATCTTGCTTGTGACACAATTAATAGCAATAAAATTTCAATAAAATTACTAAAAAAAAACACATGGTTTTACGCAATGCATTTATTCTATATTGAAACGTGTTTAAAGTTCGACTAAAGAATAAGAGAACCTTGTCGAACAACAGAAGCATCAGAGCCTAGCGATTCCGTGGAGAAAACGGAACGAAGCCATTCAGAGAGCTCGTGAAAATGCTCGGGGCCCGTTCGGAACGACATAATAATCATCCGGCAACGAAAGATTGCGAGGAACACTCGTTCCACCGACCACAGGGAGGAACACCTCTCTTCTACCTAACTTATACTTATTATTGCATTATCTCCTTTGTCCTAGAACGATCCCAGCGATGATCGGACAGCGAAAGTAGAATCTTCGCTAACGCGAAGGGCGATATAAATAAGTGAAATAAAGAATGCATATTAAAAGGAGAAAAAAAAAAATATTTTCGATTCTTTATGCAACTCGGCTCATGTCTGAATGATACACCTGTTCACAGGTGTATCCTCTTTCTCTCCTCGTTCCCGTGTCTTCTTTGCCTTCTTGCGACGCTTAAACACGCGGCCAACGATCAAGATAATGTCTTCATCTCTTTCGCGAGCGGTAGATTGCTCGCGCCGCGGATCCTGCTTCTTATCTTTCCCATGCTTTTTCGCGATAATAGCGCGTGTAATTCTAACGTTTAGCAAAAAGAAGCTATTATACCTCTGGAGGAGAGAAATACTCCTCTTCGAATTTCGATATTTTTTTCAGACTCCAAGGAACTTGCCAATCGGAAAGTAATAAACGTTGCTAATTTCGGCTAGAACCACCGTTTCTGACACGGTGTAAAGGGTGGCCTGCTCATGAATACGCCTCGTCGCGGAGTTTCCTGAGCTCCTTAATGAACCGAGTTCGCGAGAACCATTAATAACCGAAAGCCAAGAGTCTGGAAAGAGAGAAAACCGTGGCGGGAAAAGGGAGGGAAGGCTTTCCAACCCCTGGGAAACGTCCAGAAACGTTCACCAGAAGATACTTTCACTCGGAGAATGAGAAAGTAGACATTGAACTTTGACAAGTTTCGATGATGTGTAACATGAAACTAGATCGATTCATTAAAGTAATAAACGTCTGTGGAATTAAATAAAAATCTTACTAAAAACCTACCCCCTTCGAAGTCCAAAAAGAAACAACGAAGCAAAAAAGCAATAGGGTAGCACAATAATAAAAATAAACAGTAGCGAAGCTGGAGATGCTTGGAACGAAGAAACGAAGGGTAGGAGGAAGTGGTCGAATAGGGTGTCTGGCAGCCCTAATGCGACGTATCAATATACGTGGGTGCCAGTGATGGGCCAATATCGCATAAGTGGCCCGATTCACCGTCATTTGTTACGTTTTGTTCGGTCTAAGTAATTTAAGAGTTACCCTTTGCTTGCCACCCTCCCCGACCACGGTAAAGGACAACGGGGTAGGGGTTGGCTCGAAGGAAGATTCTCCTTGGAGGAGCACAGAGAAAGAGGGTGGCCGTACTTTGCCTCCATTCTTCGGTAAATCGCGGCATATTTGTCAGATTTTTGTTCGAGAACAAAACCTCGACGACCTTTCCTCGACTTAAAGGGGTGGGAGGATCGGTTCGAGCGTTTGCGAGGGTTTCAGAGTTAAGTGGATTGGTTTCGGCGCGAACGTCTGAACGCGTTCAACTTAATTCGAACCGTCCTGCCAGATAGTACTTGATTTCACGACTTCCGCACCCGAATGGGGAACGCTGTCTTCCGTTCCAATGGCTGACTATTCTTTCGCCATCGGAATCGCGAAAGATTTTGTGAAAACCGTTTAACCGTGTCTCGCCCTCGAGTCGCGAATTAAAATAGTTTCGGCTAGTTAGGTATAATTTTTCTTTCACTCACCCTTGAAACCCTTTTCCGGGCAACTGGACTCGGGGTTGCTCGCGTCCGCCGTCACGTCCGCCTCGTTTTCTATCGGCGTGTCGATCTGAAATCAAACAAATTATACATATTCATCTTAGGAATACTTTAATCTCACGATTTATTCTACTTTTGAAAGAGGAAGGAGAGAAGAACAGCGACGATGGATTTTAGCGATGCACATAAAGGACACGTGTGAACAGCTGGCGACGTTCGTACGACCGTCTTCCCACGCGTCTTCGTGGATCACACGTGGGATCTCAGAGTATTCCACATGGACCACGGGCCACGTGGATCTCGATCCGTTCATTTTGCCCAAGGAACTGTCTAACGTTACCGAAAAGCAATGGGAATCATTTATTTACTCTCAGGGCTGCCTGATCCTCTGCCTTCAAGTCACTGATTCTAAACGAAATTGTTCATTTAAAAATACCGAAAGTCTGAGAAGATTTCACGAAATAGAAGTACTCGAATTAAAGCTTAAGCTTTGATGAAAATTACTATACAAAGGTTTCATTGATGTTCTTAATATAAAATGGCTAGTCGATTCGATGTTTGAGAAAAAGAAGGGAAGACTTAGTTTTGCGTAGGTGTAATTATGCCTCTGGAACCCCTTTTTCCCACAGAACTAAATATAGCAAGTGTCATCCGATGGCCTGGACACACATGTCCCGCGTAGCCACATCTGGTCGGTGTTTCCTGCTAGCCGTCGCATCTTCTGCAATATGATTTATTTTCCAGCGAACGAATCCCACAGATTCGTCCGCGCGTTAGACCAAACAGTGACCGAAAGTGACACCATGAATTTCGAGAATAAAACACACCATTCTAAATAAAGAGAAGCTTTTTTACTTCGGTAGACGAGAGTCTTGAAATCTCTAAGCGAAATGAAAGTTCTCCAGTTTCATATCATACAAGTCATCTTCTACTCGAACCATCAGTAGAAGATTCCCTGAATCTTCAGAAAAAGTAGAAAGTTCCCAGTTTCATCGAATAGATCTACGACCTCCGATCAGAAATTGAAACTTCTGATTCTGAAAAACATCATCCGAATGATCGTTCTTTTGCAGAAAGCTACAAGGAACATGGTAGAAGCTTTACGGATCGAGGTCACCAAGATCAGGAATGCACGGTGCACCGCGAATTCCCCGAAGTTTCTTTCCCTCTTTCTTTCTTTCATCTCCGAAACATTATTCTCAAGCCTAACAGCGGGCCCGTCCCAGCCCCGATGATGAGAACGGAGGAACGAGGAGGCAAAGGGGGCCAGGTAAACAGCGTCTACGAGAGGCCAGTTTTGAAATGCTCGGCAATATAGTGAGTTCGTTACGAGGCTCGCCCCGACGTGGTATGGCTCATAATTGTAGACTTGCCTTTCGAGAAACACACCTTCGGGCACCCAGTTTCTCTCGACTGACACCTATTGTCCAGTGGAAAATTCACCGATACCTCGAATAATCGAGCCGCCATTTTATTCGAAATAATTTTCAAATCACAGAATCTATCGCTGATAAAATAAGAATAAATTTGTCGAACGATTTTCCTGGTAAATTGAGTCTGAAGAGCGTACGGCAATGCAAGGATGAAGAAAGAAAAATTGAACGCTGGTCAAAATATTTTCAGGCTGAGGATGAAAATTATTAGCCAGAGAATGTCTTAATCTTTGACGGTAGAACGAAGACTCGCGATGTTCTTTTAACATAAATTCTTTTTTCCTCGTTTCACGCGGAGATGCAGCTTGTAAATAGTGCAACGCGAACTGCACTTCGGTGCATAATGCAAGTTGAGGCGTCGAACGATGCCTAAGCGGTGTTTCCTTTTCCTGAGAAATTTCGTTCTTTTCCGACACTTTATTGTTCCGCTAGTATCGCTTAGTTAACCCTTTCAGTGTTCGTTAAAATCGGAATAAAATAGGATGAGATGTTACAAGAATGCTTTACAATTTCCCTGTAGTTGCACGCTTCTCATCAAGAACGCGTGTCTTAAGTTATTCCCAGGCTGTCTTCAGTTATTTATCTGCCTACGCCAAAGGGGTGAATCTCACCCCTTCCTCTGACCGCGTCTTAATAAGAGCCGCAGAGTAAATAAACCCGCTCCGCACTCGTTCGAAAATTAAATTAAACCTCTAAAATAGCGATTAATAGACAGCTATTAATTTACAAAATTATACCAACGATTCAGAATAAAACGAAACGAACAGATATGTATAATGATTGATCCTTTTCCTAAAAAAGTTTAGTCCTGTCTTCAGGACGACGGACCAGCGAGAAAGCTATAATTTTATTTTCTAAACTTTTACAGTGCTCCAATATATGAAACTCTTTCGAATAGAGACGGATTATATTTCCTACTTTTTTAACGAAAGGATCAATCATTACAAAGGGGGTCAATAACTGCATACAATTAACTGAAAAATGTTTCTATAACATCCGGTCGAAATTGTCGAAAGAATCAGTCGGTTTAGAGAAAAGCGGAGGAAAATTGTCGCGTGAAAAAGAGCGGAAAGCAGCCAGAGGAAGACTTAATACAAAGGAAGTTACGCGGTGGAAGACCGCACGGTGTATAAATTCAAAGTAGATTAATATTATCCCCGTGGCTGTCGCGGCGGCAAACTTATGGCGCTAATTCGGCCGACGAATTATTACTCGGCGCTGCTTCTAGTCAACCCCACCGTGTGTTTTGCCAAAAGCCCATGGAGAAGAGAGAGGGATGGTCCTGTCGTTAATAGAAGTCGTACGTGCTCCACAGGACACCGGCGGAGACGTGTCTTTGGATATTACCCCTTTGATCCTCGATTCGAAACGTACGGCACGACGTTACAGTTAAAATTCCACTACACGAAACGGTGAATCTTTTTCGACGAAAATAATTCGCCCTGAAAATTTCAATTTCAACATCATTTCACGCGGCCTCGTCCACTCTCGCTCGATAGAAACGAATTCGCATTGTCATTCTAATCTTCAGGGTTACGGGGCGGCGGACAGCCGAAGGGTCTCTTAAGGAAATTAAGGAAAGACCCTGTATTGTCTCTCGTCTCGCGATAGCTACGAGAAGAGAAGCGTAGACAACAGCTGTTTAGCATCCCCGATGAAAAAGTCAGCCCGGTAATTATTCAAATTATTTTGAAGAAGGTTTTCTCCGCTCGGCCACAGAGGCGGATGTCTTTATACTCCCCTATCCCGGCTCTACCGGGTGTGAAGGAAGTGCACAGTGATCCTCTCATCGGTCTCCGACGAGAGAAGAAAAAAAGAAAGAAGCACAACAGCCACTTTGTGCGAAGCTGACTTTGCTTTAACCCTTGAACACCGGATGTAGGGTCATTCCGGGCCCGCTATTACATCTATGTACTTTATATTCTAATAAAATAATCTGGATACCTAAGATAGAAACCAGGTGAAATACTCTTTTTTAAGAAGAAAGGGTTATCGCGTGGAAGAAGCGAATCAAAGCGGGGGTAATGAATGGAGGAAAGAAAAAAAAAACAAAAGACAGGAGTAAAAAAGGGGTGGAGAGAAGGTAGAGATTAGACGAAGGAGAAGGTTTTTAGACGACACCAGGATCGTGTTGTGTGTGGAGTGACTGATGAGTTTTCCGCTCGATTGGAGAACGGGTGAAGCGAACACTCGCTCATTTTTCTGTCTCCTTCGAACTCACCGCGTTCGCTAACGTCGTTCGACCTAAATCGCGAGTAAGTTTGATAGATATAAATATTCGGTAAGTCCAAGGTAACGTATACAGTTGTTGACCCTGTTCCTAAAAGAAAAACTAAGAAATATAATGCGTTTCTTAACTCTCGAACGGCGGACCATGGAGAGAGCCACAATTTTAATTTAATTAATTATTAAAATTGAATTATCTTTCGCAGCCCGAATATTTTTTATTCTAAACGGAATTATAATTTATTATATAGAAAACGTATTTTATTTTCTACTCTTTCAGGAAAAGGATCGATCAAAGTGTTAATGACGTTAGCCTATTTACTTTTCGAAAGGAATATCGACAATTTAAAAGGGAAAGAAGAATTCTGACGATGGCTACGATTGGGACGATTTAAGTTGTTGCCTGAAGATGAGACGAGCATGTCGAGGATCGAGGCACCGGGGACTCAGAAAGGAGGCACTTTAGACACGTCGCCTATCAAGAGCCGAACCATGCTTCCGGCAAAACACAAAGGCTGCCTTCATACCAGCCACCGTCCTCCTCGTCGTCATCTTTGACGACGATCAAGTAATCGAGCCTGGCCGCTCCGCTCTGCTTGTTCTTTCGAGCAGAGACCAGTAACTTGTTATCATCGCGTTAACCACCACGTGTCCCTTCCACACTTTGTATCGCAATTCCTAATCAATCACCAGTAGCATAGATCCGAATTGAAAGATAAATAAAAGAAAAATATGGAGACGAAGAATAGGATCTCGATTTCCTCGATAAAACGATCAGAGCGATAAACCGACAATTCGCAACAATTCAACACCCTTTGCGTCCGGGAAGCGAGGGTGAGGGAAATACCCTGGCAAATTGCGGGCCGTAAAAGATCAAGGAGGGTCGACGAACAAAGACGACCGAGAAAAGGCTAACTATAAACAATATCTCTAATTAAAACAAGCATACTGTCAAGATATTTAAAAATCTCCTGAAGATCGGCGTTATATTCTTCTTTCCTAACGTTAAAAAATATAGAAAAGATCGAAGGTTCGAAAGAAAGAAGAGAAAGAGGAAAGGGGTGGAAAAATAAGAGAAGAGGGAGAGGATATCAGGGTGAAAAGCAACCCTCGAGGAAACAGGCAGATAGTCAGCGGTCTTAGCGTGTCGCTTAGCACCCTATCTGCTCGGATCTTCTCTGGGATTCAACCCCTCTTCAACCCTCTACCCCTCGGGGGCTGCGTTTGTCGTGAGCATTACTCACTTTCTAGACGCCTACTTGCGAACCCCATCGTCGCAGCCGTCCCCGAGGCTCACTGACTACATTAGGGGACAAATCTTCCAGAGGTTGGCCCGGCTAGGATATTCGACGACGCGAACGGGGTGGTCGTGATGCCACCCTTGCACCGGACCAACACTTTCCACGAGCAT